ATAGATAATCTAATTTATCTTCCAATATAGATAATCTAATTTATCTTCCAATATAGATAATCTAATTTATACATTTTAAAAGCCTTTTTTGTTCTCAAATTGAGAAACAATAAACTGATGAAAATCAGATATATATAAAATAAATCACATCAACTGACTCCCTGCCCAGCCAGACAGCAGCCATTTCACAACAATATTCAGATTTTCAGGTGTTTACATTCCCTGCTCTGTTGACTACACACACACACACACACACACACACACACACACACACACACACACAAAAAAAAACACACACACATTAAAAACACACTGTACGGGTTTCAAAGAAAGCACAATTGAACGATTCCCTGTGATCAGTCTTGCTTTGCTTAATCTTATATGACTCTAAATCAACAGTTGATTTTATTATATACATATATATATATATATATATATATATATATATATATATGTATATATATATATATGTGTATGTTTAAACTCACAAAATGAGATGCACTGAAAAGGACGAGCAGCTGTAAGGATTCTTTAAAATGATTATAAGATGACAAAGTTCAAGTGTTTCGATGTGTCCTCTGATGCCGCAGAGTTCTGGTGAACCAACTAATGGACCGGGAGTGAAATGTGAGGCCTTGTGAGCAGTTTCCTCCGTTGGTCTTACCTCGTTGTAGGTCGTCGTGGTTCCTGTCTCCAGGTACAACATGTTGGCGCTTAGATTGAGCAGAGCTGCTGCTGTTTGCTCCACTGGCTCCAGGATTCCACAAATCTCTGTTCCTCACTCTGAAAGGAGTGATGTGGACTACAGATGCAAAGTGGACAAGCAGAAGCTACTATAGGAATCTATGGGAAGTTCATATATACCTGGAGGAAAGGGGAGGGGCTTAGGAGCTACCTGGAGCTGACTGTCTCCACAGTCACACCCATCATCCCCCAAAAACAAGCCTTCCTCGGAGTAGGACTTTATCCATTTGGTAGCTTCAACCACAACAAAAGTAATGAACTCGTTTTCAAAGTTTTGTTTTTATGCTTACTGTTGTGTTTTAAATGTAACAACGTTGAGGATGATAATCTTCATAAAACACTGAAAAAAAAAAAAGATTTAGTGGAAGCTCAAACACCACCATAAGATTTTAACTTGTATTAACTCTATATATATATATATATATATATATATAATCTTCTTTAAAAAGGCTGACTAGCGTGAAAAGGTTAGAATTAAACGGATACTCATTAAATGAAAGTTTTGGATGAATACAGAAACAATCATGGAGCAGAGTCGGTCACGGGTCCTGCAGGGTGCAGAGTTGTAATCTGCAGCTCTCGTTTGCATAAGAATGCTCTGCAGCCCATAATCAGTGGAAGAAGGGAGGACCAGAGGAAAACAATGAAACTCCTGGAAGCTTGTCCCACCTCAGGTGACTGCAGTGGATGTGTTTTGGAAACACATCGTTTCTCACATGCTGTCATGGAGGCAGCCCTGCTGCAAAACTAGATTTTGGAAGAAATAACTTGGTTTTCTTCATGTTTAGTGCTTGTGAGCTGAAACCTTTCGTCTTGATGCAGAAAAGCTTTGATTCACAGCTTCTCCTTTATATTTCTGCAGCAAACTAACTCATCTGGTTCTTTTAATCTCCTGCACACCAGATACACTCGTCATTAAAGACAAAATCGCAAATCTGCACACTAGCTATAAAAAGCCATTGTAACTGTCTAAATATGCACTAAAGTCATACTCCAGATGTGAAGGTTAAAAAAGGTCACTGCATCTGTACTAGAAGTTAGAAAAAGGAGCAGAGATGTCAGTTTCATGTGTTCAGAGCCATTTGAAGCTGTCTGGAAACTCAAGCACAGGTCAGATGTGAGTTTAGCATCTCCCGTCACCGGACACACCCTGCTCAGGCCCAGGGGTACAGGCCTGCATGGCCGCCTGCCGCAGAAGAGAAGTCAACACTTGAAAGAGATCAATCCAGTGGCCTCCCAAGATCTGCAGCCTGACAGAGGGTCAAGATAAACCTTTACTTTAGCTGAACTAT